ATAAATGTATGTAAATATATATTATATATAAATGTATGTAAAATTTGTGTATGAGCTTGCTCATTCCTTTTCACTATTTATTTGAAATATTTACACATATTCAAAATGTTTGAAGGTTTGTGTGAAGATTCTCATGTGTACATCTTTATGGAATAAAATTTATAATCCTCTTCCCAAAGTCTCAAGTGCTGAGATGTAAATGTGCACCACTATTTCTGGTTGTTTGTTCTTTTTTGATGTGTGTACTTTCCATTACAACTTTAAATTACACATTTTTTAATTTACACTTATTTCTTTTAAGCACACTTACTTTTTCTTTATGTGTGTGCATTCACATGTGCCCCAGCACACACAGGAAGGTCAGAGGACAAGTACAGAAGGTGGTTTTCTCATTACACAGTACCGGATCAGAGTCAGGGTTGAAGGTTGGCAGCAGCACTTACACACTGATCTGTGTCACCAGGTCCAATCTTAGCATCATCACTCCTTTGTCCTTCTGCTTCAGTTAAAAACATCACCAGATCTCAGGAGTCCTAAGCCAAACAATTACCCGTTTTATTTGACTTTCTTGGGGCACAGGCTGTCGATGTGGCCACCCTTCTTCTAGAGGCGTTTGACCGCACAAGGGTGCAGGTGTGGGCAGCACTTGCGCAGCTGTGCATGGCCTTGTCACAGCAGTACTTCTGCAGAAACAGGCACAGGGACGGCTCTCTGATGCCACCACAAAGGGGTAGCACCAGGTGCAGAGTTGGACTCTTTCTGGACTTTGCCCTTGTCTAGGGTGCAGCCATGCTCTATCTGCTGGCAGCAAATTCCAGCTGCTGCTGGTCAGGTGGGATGCCTCCCTTGTTTTGGATCATGGCCTTGCCATTCTCCATGGAGTGACTGGGCTCAACCTTGATGGTAGTGATCTTCCCCTTCAGGGCTTTGCCAATGATCTGCCTGTTGGTGTTTGTTTGGCCACATATTTGAAGAGAAAGAGATCTCAGTAAAAATATTTTGTTTCCTTTTACTTTTGGTGCTAGACATTGATGGCAGGACCTCAGTGTTCTCCTACTCCTAAGCCATACTACACCCCTGAGCCACATCTACCTATCCTGAAATTTTCAATTTCTATCTTAAAATTTTTCATCGGCTGTCTTTTTCTTATGCTTTTGGGTTTAATTTTTTTTGTTGATATGAGTCAGGCTCTCCTGGCTGTCCTAGAGCTAGTTATGTAGACCAGGATGAGTGGGAAATCACAGAAATCCTCCTGCCTCTGCTTCCTACGTGTTTAGATTAAAGGTGTGGACCACCAAACCTGGACATAAGTTTAATTTTTTGACATATTTTAAAATAATTTATTGTGAAGACATTATGTTATACTTTCCTTCATTTCTATATTGCATTAGCAATCCATTTTGGGTTTTAATTTTTAATTATCTGAAATTATCATATCAGTAGGTATTGTGTTTTGATGGAATTTACCCTCCAACCACTCCCCTGCTCCCTCACCCTCACTTACTAGTTCATTCCTCACTGACCTGATTTTTTTTTAAGATTCTTTCTGTGACCTACTAGTTGTTGAAAATCCATTACCTTTCCTTACACACCTAACTTTCTATTTTTTTCCTCTCATGTAGCTCAATTTGTGCTTCCCATATTCTAGGGCATATCACCAGGGTCCGTTAAAGAAAATGACTCTCTCCCAGTAGATATCAGATGCAAATAGCTATTCATCTGTTGGTGGCATTTGGTGCCAATCTCCCTTCCTCATACTGGATTTGTTCTTCATTGAGTTTACATTTGGCCTCTAGACTTGTAGATTTCATCAAAACCAAGGTGAGCTCAGATTTTCAACCCTGTTGCATTGTCCAGGAAAGAGTTCATTTTTCAACCTCCTTTTCAGTAATAATCCCATGCTAGGAATGTGTCACATGGAGAAAATTCTCTACATTAGCATCACTTCAAGGGATGGGTCCAGGACACACACATGGAGAATGAGATTGAGGTCACTGTGTATTTTCCCCTTTTGTTGCTGAGCCCAAAGAGCATCCTTAATTTCCTCTTTGTATGAATGCCAATATGAATAATTACCATCCTGTAAGTCTAATATGTATATCCTTTACTAAATCAGAAAAAGGCTCAGTTGGTAGAGTCCTTGTGTGACATTCTTAAATCCCCAGTACTGTATAAATATGATGCTGTGGCTCATGTCTTCTGACTTCATCATTCAGGGGTTAGAGCTAAGAGTACTGGGAGATTAAGGACACTCTTATTATGCAGTGAGTTTGGGGTCAGCCTGGGCTATATCAGGCCCTATCACATAAAAGGGAAAGAAAAGTCCCCTAGAGTATACGGTGAACATGATCAAATGCATTTTATGGGTGTAATTATCTTAAAAAATAATGAAAATATATTTACTATAAAGATCCCACACTAAGGATATGTCCCAAGTATTTCATTACATCCATTTCTAAGGGATATTCCTATCCTAGCACCTGCATCTTTTGCACCCCTGTGAGTTGTCATGTCTGGTGTGTCTCATGGATACAGTGTCTCTTACCTATTGATTTCATGGGCAGTTGCATTTCCTGACCTGAGAACAAGAGATGGGCCATGCCATTTGACCAGTCAGGGTTTCACTGAGTGCTGTGAGCTCATTCACACAAACCTCCCCACAGGCATCTCTGTCAGTGAGGAGACATGCTGCCCTCTCCTGGTTGTGTAGCAGGAGTTCCTGCAGAGCCTTGCAGCTGGCCTGTATTCTGTAGCACTGGGCTTTGATCTTCCATTTGTGATTGTTATCTTTTGTGTTGGATACCCTCTGTTTGAAAAAAGTATGTAAATCTTATCTCAGTTCTTCTTCAAAGGTTCAAACCTACACATGACTTGGCTGTAGTAGGTATCGGAAAACTGAGACATCCTGGGCCTGAGAATTGCTTTGGCATTCATCTTCTTTGGGAAGATCCAGATAAGAGGTTTTGGAATGGGGAAATTGACTTGCTATGGTGTAAATTGTATAACAATAAAAAAGTCTTGTGTGAAGCAAAAGTCAGGCAGTTCACCAGAAAGTGGTTCCCCTACCCTGGCAAAATTCAAAATTCATCCTGGTGTGACCTTGTTTCCACTGACCTGCAAGAAACTGTACATCCACACTTGACATGCTGAGATGAGTTCCATGTGATGAACTTGCCTTAGATGACTGATAGCCACACATGGCATCTCATCCGTCCTCTCTGACACAGATGGTCAGATGTAGAGTTCCAGCAGAGGCATCTTGGTTGCTGGTGGATATGAACTCCCGGGATGTAGGGTCAAGATTCTTCTCCAACCTTGATCCATGGCCTCTATTCACAGCACTGTTCATGCACCACAACCACTGACCACATAGTCAGATAGACTCTGCTGGGTGAGTCCTTTAAACCTGTGTGTCCATCAGAGTTTGCCCAGGTGAAGACAGCTTCTGTTGCTTTTCACAAACTCCTCATGATGGAATGTAGGGAAGTCTCTGTCTTGAGTCCACCTCGCTACTGGGCAGAAACTAAATGGCTGGAACTGAATGTAGGTTGTGTTTGTGTGACTCTGAATGCAACCATACCATTTCTTGTGTCTTGTTGTTTGAGGCAGTGATTGATTTTCTATCCTTTGCAAGTAGGTTCAGGTCTTGATTATTGACTTTTAGTTAATTTCTTTTTCTTCTTCAGTTTGAGGAAACATACTTCCCATTATTTATATCATGTGAATGAATCACATACATACACACACACACACACACATACACACACACACACACACACACACACACGAGTGGA